GCGTCCCTTTACATAGAAATCAATGTAGCAGCCTAAGGGTTAACACTTAGCGAAATCTGCCAGTAATTGATAAACAATAGAAATATATTCAGTTTAAATGGTGTAAGATGAAGCAATTATAAGAAAAAGGGCATTTTTTATTTCTATTTTCATGGTTTGAAATATGCAGAAAGGGAGGCTTTTGCATATCACTTTCTTTAAAGGTCATAACACATATGAAATATATATCTTCCTTCAGTTTAAGTAGGTCAAGTTCAGTATGCTTCTCCATTCCTTTACTGTATTTGCTTACATTTGATACAATAATTCATCAGGAGGATTTTCAGTATGTCGGATCCCAGAGGACGGGTATATATATTTTCCGCCCTGTTTGTGTTGATATCCTTGGATGTTGACAGGCCTGTGTTGTGTTTGTAGTGGTAAAGGCTAGTGTATCAACCACCATATCCAGTGCTGAGGTTAAACCCACAACGGGACCGTCCACCCGATTGGCTAGCCAGAAATCCAAACGACGTATCAAAACAGAGCTCATGCTTGTAAGTCCAGATTGTGTTTACTTGCATTAATGAGAATTATGAGCTGTGCAAATGTCAGAATTTTTCCTGGAGTTTAATGACGGCACAACATTTAACAGTCGATATAGTAAATGTACATACTGTGCCATTGTATAAATATGAAAGTATTTACCCCAACACATCACTTTATATTGTAAAGTAGAACAAGTCATTCTAAAGCCCTATCGATAATCGTAGTTTACATGTATGCTAATCAGGCAATTCTTCAACAATTTATTTTATTTTTCAGGACTCTGTGTGTGACAAGAGAGAGCATCGACGACGGGAAAAGCTGGAGTATATTGCTCATATAAACAAGCTACATTGTGAACGCAAGCCTGTGTATGGACAGGACCTGCGCTGTACTGTGAATGTGATGAGTGACACGGACAAAACATGCGTGTGTGATAACACGTGGGCCGCCCTCGGGCATGTGCATTGTACAAACATTCACTCTTGGAGCAATCCTTACCGCCCAGAGGTCTTCTGGAAACAAACCAAAGTGCTTTCAAATCTGGTCCATACTCCCTTGCAATACCTACATGAACTAGAAGACATTTTATCTAGGTATGCCTTAAAAGTTGTGTTTCTGGCAAATAGTGAATTTTGCATATAGAGCTCATCTCTAAAATCCAGTGTTCTCACTAAGTTCTGAAATAGCCTGTTCATAGTTGATGAACAGCAGTCTACTTTCATCGACAACCAGCTTTTAATGAGAACACTTGCTAAAACAAAATGCCAATTAGTGTGTCATGAGGCAAGATATGGATTCTCTGAAAAGCTTTATTATTCTGGTGCTAATACACATCTCTAGCAATGATTGTGTTTTGTGATTCGAGAGATCATAGTCTCTGAAAAGTTGCCTTATTTTGGTACCAACACAAGTCTATCTGGGTGATCATTGCTTCATGCATCAAGAGCTTTACCTGTGAAGACATTCATTATTTTAGTGATATATGTACAAGTTATTTTGCACTCTTAAAGAACTTTCCTGTGTTGATGGGCCGTTGAGCATTTAATGATAATAATAATGCACAAAAGATATCGAAACACTGATGATCTTTTTGAAATTTCACATGGTGATGCACCGTGAAATGTAGATGTTCAATTAGGATTTCATAAGTCAATGGTGAGGGGTACCTTCCTTACCTCAGATGACTAATCTTGTTGATATTTGATATATAGATATGCTGTAGGGGTTTAAAAAATAATCTAAGGTCAAGGTTACTTTCTAAAAATAAACCAGGGGGGAGGGGGCCTACAGTTAGGCAAATGTTTTGGATAGGGGGAGGGGTTTGCTGATTTGGCATGGTCACAAGATATCCAATAGAAAACTAAACAGAAACTCCATTTAGTGCAATCTTCATTCAATACAGTATCTAAAATGCAAATGGCATTAAAATTTGACAAATGTCATCAAGCAATCTGTCCATTTTGTAAGCTTTGCATTACTATATGACTCCCAATGCTTCTATTACAGATATGTGTTTGTTACTCCACCTGTTGTATCACCGTGCATCAAAATGCATGTGTCTCACCCTCCTCCCTCTAGCGCAATGAAAGAGCGATGGCGGGACTTTTTCCTCCATAAAGACGTGTCGCCAAAGGCGAGCTGTCTACACAAAATTTCTAGCAACAGGATGGTGCAGTTTCCTGAGCTTCGACTTATACAGTATGACTGTGGTAAGTGGTTATATTGATGTTGTCCGGTTAGTATAGAAAATGCACTTTCAACATTAAATAAAACATGTTAAAGCCTACAAGGCTAATTCTGTGCAGTCAGCAAGACGATACACAATGAATAACAGTAGATGTATTACGAGCATCTGCAAGTTTTGGAGATATAATTGATATAGATTGAACTTAAAGATAAACTGGCTAAGTAGGACATAAATCATAATCTATTCTCTGGAGTTGAGCATCTGCTCTTTCGTTAATCGCCTATAAAGTTACTCTGAAAATTTAATGCAAGATGTGATGTCAGAATATAACTGGTTAATTTCTTGTTGTAGGTAAACTTCAAACTCTGGATCTTTTATTGCGGCGGTTGAAGTCTGGGGATCATCGTATCCTAATCTTTACACAGATGACAAAGATGCTGAACATTCTAGAGTCGTTCCTTAGTTACCATGGTCACCGCTACCTCAGGCTAGATGGAACAACACGTGTCGAGCAGCGACAATTCCTCATGGACCGATTCAATGCTGACAAACGTATTTTCTGTTTCATCTTGTCTACACGTTCAGGTGGAATTGGAGTGAATCTGACAGGCGCTGACACTGTGATATTTTATGACAGCGACTGGAATCCAACCATGGATGCCCAGGCTCAGGACCGATGTCACCGCATTGGACAAACTCGCGATGTCCACATCTATAGGTCAGTGTTAAAAATTTCAAGAATGCAGGCTAAGGTGTTTTAAAGTATTTTATAAATTTAGAAATGGTAAGCTCTTGCCACTTAGAATTCAAACGATGATTTTGTGACTTTTAGTATCTTTTTTCAAAACTGGCCGCTGGTCTTGTGAGATTGGTGATTCCAAATTTGCATCGACTGATTCAGTGCAGCAAAAAAAAAAGTGGAATACTTTTGTTTCTTATTCTTAGTAGTTTGTACTATCCTTTAGGAAAAAAATTAGGAGTGAAAACATGCCTTTTTGCTTTCTGTTTCTTGCCTGCACATATATGATTAAGTGTGGTCTTGGATATGAAATTTGTTACAGGTTTTAGCTCTGTTGATTACACTGGACTCGCTTGCCTACTGCACCCGTAACTTGACTCACTTTTTGACATCAGGTGTTGGGCTAGTAATTTGTACATCTTTCAAAAATTGCTAATTTCAGCTGTTGTAATAAGGAGAATTGTAGTTTCGCTACACAGAAAATTTCTTGGTTGTGAAAGAAAAGTGTTGTGGAAGAAAAGTGATCTTTTTATTAAATTTTTTTTTAAACAATTTTGAGTTTCTATTTCTGAGATTTATTTATTTGTGGGATGTGCAAACACTGGGTACAACACTAATAATAGTAAAGA